GTACGAGACGGGTCGGGACTAAAACCATGAGTACCGCCAGCGTACACGCTGGTGGTACTAATAACACTAAAACAAAACAAAACATAAATCATCAAAAGAAAATAAAAAAGACACCCTAGATTGTTAAAATAACAATAATAATAATAAAGAGTGCACAGAAAAGGCTGACAGACAAGAGGGTTTGAACACAATTTTTAACATTCACTCAACATAAATAACTTGTGTCAGAGATGGAATAATTCAACTATACTATACAGAATTGTGGTACTCCAAAGGGTAAGGTTATGAATTAATTCTGCATTGTTATATAAATAAAATATATTGGTTGTGGGTCAATAAACAAAATGTTCTGTTCATGGTTCAAAAACCAAGGTGATGTTATTGTTTAATAATAATAAAAAACAACTTTTTGGGTTATAAATCATATAAAAGACAGTCCTCAAATTTTATTCAACACAGCACTGCTGGTTGATATTCTATAAACAAAATCTGTTACTGTCAGACAAACAAAACTCTCTGGGTTATGGTGTAAATCATAATTCTTTCCACTATTATCAACACATCACAGCTAGTGGAGTTTTCTACCTGTTCCTGAGTTATCAGTTTCAGAGGCCCCAGATTCTCTCAATGGAACTGATGACGCTGCTGCAATACAGATATGCCTGGCGTATTTCATTGCGATATACGTAAACTAAATCAAGTCCCCATACATTACTCTTGGGAATTTTAACTCGGAATTCATATCGAGTCTTTTATCACATCAACCATCATGATGGGGTAATATATTTATGTCCCTAAACTGTCAACTACAACCCCCCCAACCCCCCCACACACACATTATTTCACTGGCTCCCTCTATATCACACACTGGCTCCCCCTATATCACACACTGGCTCCCCCTATATCACACACTGGCTCCCTCTATATCTCACACTGGCTCCCTTTACATCTCACACTGGCTCCCTCTATATCTCACATTGGCTCCCTCTATACCTCACACTGGCTCCCTCTACATCTCACACTGGCTCCCTCTATATCTCACACTGGCTCCCCCTATATCTCACCTTTTGAAGAAGAGCCGCCCCAAACACTGGTTCCATATGTGTTGGTTGAGAAGTCAGTATCTCCATGAGTGCTCAGTTTGCCAGGTTTTCTGGTAGAAAAATACAGTAAAATAATAATTACAGTGAAAATCTTTTTTTTCTTAATTTTTGAATTACAAAAGAAAAAAAATCCCTGTGTGCCCACTCAAAACCATACAGGTATATAACAAATTTTACTCAACATACTGAATGTAAATTTATTCTTTAAAATTGTACTTCACATTCAGCTGGATGACGGCATTTCTGTTCCTTTCATTGGAATACAGTCATGTACTTTTGGTTTATGAAGCCCTGTGCATACACTTACTTTTGTTTGGCTTTAGTTTCCTGCGGCGACTCTCCCAGTGAGGAAGAGATAGAAAATGTATCCCCACTCTCCTCTCCATCCTCCATCTGGAGAAAAATATCACCATATAATAATAATAATAATAATAATAATAATAATAATAATAATAATAATAATAATAATAATAATAATAATTTACAAGGATCAAAAATTTATATGGTGCATTCCATTAAAATCTCAATGTACCTTGCAGATTAAGAGATACAGAAAATTTACAAATTGCTTATCAAGAGTCTAAAGTCCATCAGACTTGAAGTAAATGCAGTAGGGCATGAAAATGACTAATGTCTTTGCAGCAGTCAATTATTACAAAACAAGTAAAGATACTCCACATTATAACAAATACATAGGTGGTGATATATCTAATGTTATCATGAAATAACTTAATTCACCAGTGTCTATACTACCAAAAGGTTGTTTACTTTGCTTTATGCCATAAACAATTTGAACAGAATTCAGCTTCTTTTTTAAAATTTATTTGGAACAGTGTGTCTTAATACATGCTGACATACAGATATGCATTCTTCATGTTAGATAATTCATATATTACTATCAGTGTCCAGTCAAGGTACTTGTCAGTGATATTAAGATGTTTTGGATTTATAAGATGAAATTATTTTCTACAATCCATATCCAATACACATTCACATTCAAGGACATGCTTTGTAAAATTTGGAATATATTTTTAGACTAGAAGCTGATTTTTTCCCAGCCAAAATAAAAATTAAGCTTGTGAAAAGCAGATAATGGCAAACACATTACGAACCATTTTTCATTTTTTTTTTTCTTTTGGCATATCAAATCATCTCCTGCATCTGATGATGAATATTCATTTACAAACAGCTTCAATAGCTAAACCTGCGTCTGTATTAGTCTGTATTAAGGCAGTGTCAACCTGACCCAACACACCTGTGGTATATCTGGCGTTACAGGACTGCTGACATCTCGCGCTGTGGGCACCTCTAGTTCATTACCACCACCACCACCACCACCACCAGTGACACCACCACCACTTACATTAAGATCCACAGCACCGGCCGGCTTCTTTGCCTTACGCCCCTATAATAATTATAAACCTGAGTCATGCAGGGGATTGTGCAGAGTGGTTAGAATAGGAGGGGTAAATTTATTAAATTAAAAAAAAAAAAAAAAAAAAAGTGCAGATGTTTTTTAAATTATTGCATTGATTATAAAATTGAATTTTTTCAGTTGATGTAACCGTGTTTTCACCGCCACCAATGCTGAATGAGTAAATTAATGAAAGATGGAGGGAACAAACAAACAAAAAGCACAATCAGTTGAATTATTTAGGTTGAAAAATGAATACAGGCAAAAGAAAAAAAAGAAAGTAAAAAGCCAGCACTTACAGACAGCTGTGACTCTATGGACCTGGCTAGGTTGGCCACTATACTGCCCTTGGGCTGTGGGGCTTGGCCTGTCTTGGCTGGGGAGCTGCCTGTCTTGGCCAGTGTCCCCCTCACATGGCTGGGGCTGATCTCATCCAGGTCACTGAATGAAGCACCAAATATTACTCAACAACAAGAGCTTCTGTCAAATGTGTCAAATTATTCAACATGGATTATTGTCAAAAAACAAGGGTCTTCAAATGCTTTTTCTACTCAAAATTGGTTAAAGTTTTTTTAATAATGGCTGTTTATTTTCTTCTTTGCTCAAGTCCAAACTATACCTGATTTCATCAGAGTCCCAGTCATCATCCTCATCTATCACTTCAGGCTCCCTGGCAGGGACAGGGGGAGGGACTTGCTGACCTTTGACCTGACCTTGACCTCCTATTGGCCTCTGACTAGGCTTAATGTCCTCATCTTCATCCTCCTCCTCTGACTCTTCATCCTCTGAGATTTCGTCAGAGTCCCACTTGCTGCTAGCGGCCTGCTGGGACCTGTTGATTACAAAAGTCAAGTCAACAATGCATCAGAGTTGTCTGCTGATTTTATTCACAAGTTCAAGCAACTGCCACAATTTTAGTACAACCTCATGTCATCACACATATAGTATCTATTTATCTTCAACCAGGCTTTTAAAACAGATGCCTAATCAAGGAGCCACAGATGGGAGAGTGATCCTTTTTTTATAACGTCAGTTGGCATATTTCAAAGCCATAAAAATTATCCACATTTAAGTTTGTCTTCCATCAGTTTCAATAACTAGAAAAGCAGACAAAAATGAGCTGTTGACTTCAAATTTACTACTGTACTCACCCAGTGGAAGACAGAGTATTGGAGGCATTCAGGGAGGGTTTGGTAGGACTGGGGGTCCTGGGGGCTGGTTTAGGGGGCTGCTTGCTGCTCATACTGGCCTGATGCCTCGGCTGTTGTTGTTGTTGTGTCTGTGGAGTGGCTTTAGAGCCCCCGCGGCTTTTCTTTGGTATTGGTGTGGCATAAACTGGCTCTGCTGGACGCTTCACAGGGCTGGCATTGTCGCCTGATAATGATGAGGAAATGCATATATGTATGATTTAACTTTGGTACATTAATAAATCATTAAAAAACTACAAGATAAGCCCATAGCTGCCTCAGATGGTGAAATGCTGTCAGATAGCTTCAATTTGTTTATTTTAAATAACATTTACTTTTAAAAGCTCATTCAATCATCTTGACATTAAAAGCAAAATTCTGCAAAGAGTGAATGTTCTTTACCTCTTCTTCTTATTTGACAATAGACCTATGTATTTAAGTAACCTCAAAGTAACAGTGACCAGTAAAAACTTTCTTAATCCTTAGCTTTTAATTTGAAACCTCTTCTTTCTATCAGAGATGAAAGTAGACCTTTAAAAAATATGGAAAATGCCCGCTCTGAAGGTCTATATGAGGGTCCTGGGTAAATATAACACACACATCCTTTTTTACCCTGTCCACCCATCATATTCATCAATGTATTTTCTTCTCTATATTCAACCTCAGGTGAAAGCAGCATATTTAATTTAGCATATTCGTCCGTCTATTTTGTCAGATTCTCACCTCCAGATTTGGCTCCTTTCCTTCCCCCTCTCAGCCTCTCTTTGGCCATGTCATCCACCTTGTTAATATACTGCTGCCTTATGTCATAGAAAGTAGGGTATTTCTGAAGCGTGAAGATATATAAATACAAGTATAATGCAATCTCTGTTCTACGATATTCATAGAACTATACTGAAAAAAGTTAAATTAAGAGTGAGTAGTATGTGGGATATAATTAAAATCTTGAGGGTAACTTAATTTTTAAGGGCGTTTCAAAATCATTCAGTGTTCAGTGTTTTATTTTACATATTGTAAAAAAATACGCAAATCAGTATCTCTGCTGATTCTCTTTTAAACGTCAACTATTGGAATTGATTTTGAAATTATAATTGTTTCCATGGTTGTGCCACTTTAATTAAAAGGCCTTGAATAGCAATATTATTATAAACTTAAGCAAGAAACATAATATGAACATGTTAAACAGTACTAACAGAACTGTAATACAACAGTGAAAATGAGCAAGCATTTAAATCCAACAAATAATTATAAAGTCAATTACGAAAAAAAAAAAGTAATTCGATAACTTCTATTTCCCCTCTTTATATACCTTTCTTTTGCTGACAATTCTACTGCAATCTATAAACTACAAACAGTAAAAAGACCCACACATTAAAACAAGAGTCCATCAAGCAACAAAAACCTTAAATTAAAACAGCATTTTTTCAAGTGAAAAGATTTAAGACAATTCAAACAGACCTATTTTTTATCCAGTTTAATCCACTTCCTTTCAATCAAAACATCTCCCGTATAGGGGTCAGGTGGCCCACTGTTGTATTGGTGACCATCTGACCTATGACATCAATTAATACTGAACCAGAACTGGTCCATCTTCCTCAATGTCAAAACACCTATGACAGGCAAATGGGAAAACAACCACCAAGAAGAATATTTACCTTTGCTTTTTGCTGCCTTTCATTTTTCAGCATTCCCATCTTGCTGTTATACTGAGCATTACTAATACCTTGGGCATTCTAAAACAAAAAATAACACCGTTTTATCATACTGATTATAAAAGAAACATAAGGAAAATTAAATGATCACTAATTTTAGAGGTTACGTATTATCCTTTTTTAAAATAAAAATGAANGTGCACGGCGACGACGGCAACGGCGACGGCGACGACAGACGCAGATGATGGCTATATGTACAGACACATCTGTGTCTGTACATAATAAAAATTTAAGCTTTAGTGTAGGCTCTTCCTACCATGAACCAAACAAAGGTGCATTTAGGTTTTTTCTGTTCTCTTGAGTAATGACAGTAAGAAAGTGTTAAAGATGATCATGTCACAGGTAGAAAAATACTTAGTGTCTTTAGAAAAGATTTTTTATTAGCATGTGCTATTGTTCTAGGTAATATCAGACACACTGAAACAGTAAATACAATTATATCGTTCGTCTTTGTAAAACATGATGTAACTAGAAAGGCCATGCTGACATAAACACAAAAAATGGAGATCAAGTGAAAATCAAGAATTAGTTTTGTAACAAAAATAAATAAATAAATAAATAAATAAATAAATAAATAAATTTATTTACAGGTGATATGCCCCTCTTTTCCAGCTCCTCATCCAGCAGATGTCTCAACTCTTCTTTCATCGGCCCCAAGATGGCGGGATTCTTCACCAGCTCTCTCTTCAGCCGCTTCAGACTGGTGCCGGTCATAGTGAGGTCACCACTGGTGCTGCTGCCAAACAGATACAATGTTATCAAATGTTTCTTTTTTTTTTTGTTGGTTTATTATGGGAAAATACTATGATATGAAATACTAGGTGTCATTACTGAAGCAGTTTATACACACAAAGCTGGGGGGGGAGGGGGGGAGATAAAAAATGCAGCCTCCCTCCTTAATCTGCCTTGACAGCTTGATAACTCTGAATACTGTCAATGTTCACATGAATAATATTCTTCTCATGAAGAACTACATGAAATGATAGCATATCACCTCAGTTTAACATATGCCATTATGACAGTAAAAATTCCACAAAAAAAAAAAAAAAAAAAAAAAAA